TTTTCTTTAGAATCTGGTGATTCTGGGTACATGCAGAGCTTTGCCTACAATCATGAAATAATACGTTCATAGAGTAATAACCAGTACTGTCTCTTAGCGTGGATGACTGGAAGTTGTAACACAGGCTAAAGCAGCTCTCTAAATCAGTACTTAAATTTTTGAACATTCATTTTACTTTTTAAAAAAACAAAACAAACATTCCCATTTTGAAAAAATCAGCCCACCCATCAGGGATTCCTTTTTAGTGATCTCTTTCCAAAACTTCTGTTTACTTCATTATTTAATTTCTGGTAATGGCTAGTGGATGATTTTTATTTTTTTGAATCAGATTCAAAACCAACTAATTTGGCTATGATGCTCATGAGAATTTTAAAAAGCTTTTCTGAAAAGAACAGTTTATTTCATCTAAGAACCCATTACACCAATATATTACTTCTAGCAATTAAACATTTTCTGAAGTTAATTGGATTTTTCAGTCTTTCCTCAAAAACCAGGTGGTAACACGGCTCAGAAGATATTGTAAGTTTTAGTTCCTGAAATGTTACCTGTGTGTTGCTGCTCCGTTTTTTTGAAAGTAAAATACATAATGTTTTGTTGTTTTTAAGGTATTCTTTTGACTCCAATTAGAAAAAGCAAACCCAATACTTTGAATAGATATCAGCATAATAAAAATACTCGGTTATCTGAAGAATATAACTTGCAACCAACATATGAAAAATGTGAGTATCGCCAGAAAATTAGTTCTGTAACAAGCATAGCTGAAAGATCAGGTTTTACCTTTTGTTCAGGGCACTGAAAAAAGTGTCCGTGCTTGCTGCTTGGAGACAAATGGCTGAGGATTTTAATAGATATTCTTGTAGCTTCAATCATAAGACTACTTAAGCTTATTTTAACTTAAATCCTATTGTTTTGCTACTCCAGTACCTAACTAATTCAGACATGTTAATGCCAATAATGAGAATCTAATGAGAAATAGATATTAGTAATAAGGCAACATGTGCGTATCCATGTTCATTAGAGGCAACGTTCCTTCCCAGCACAAGAGTCAGGCTTACAGTCGAGTTCAGTTAGTTCAAAGTGGCCGAGGGTTGGCCTTCTTCACAGTTTCATAGCCTTCCAAAAAAGGCAAGATGCAAACTTGGAGAGAAAGAGGGTGTGAAAGAAATGTGCAGCCATGAATGCCAACGGTTAAAAGAAAATTGTCTATGTTCACTTGATGAAGATGAGGTTACCTGTGTGCAGCCTTATACACTTGTCTTTATCTTTGTAAAATCACTGAAAACTGTGTAATTCCATTTGAAGTCACCTTTAACAGGAGCCCAATACCTAAGTGAACCATATTAAATACAGATCTTTTCCTGCTGATTCTACTGCAGTCATAGTGGCATATCCCTGAAACAAGTTAACTATTTTTCTATTGTTAGTTATTTTCAAATAATGGAACTTTCACAAGTAATGGAAATGGAAGTATGCTTATATCCTGAGCTTGTGAAAGTTGGCACAGTATAGAAATGGTACACATCTAAAAGAAATAGCTGTCCTGACTGGAAAACAAATACTGAGAGTGTAAGTTATGTAAGTGCAACAAAAATGCAGCATTTTTCTGTGACATTTGCCTTTATTTGAGTAAATGGGTGACAGTGAAGAAAAGGCTGAACACAACATGTTTGAAAAATGTCATTGTATTGACAGTTTGCTGGCAACGCAGTTCTCAGTTAGTTCTGAACAATAATGCATTCCTTCTAATGTGAAATACTATGTAAGTTGGCATGATTTTTAATTACACCAAAATAAATGCAGAACAGTGAGAAATGTTACCTGGATATAAACACAAGAGCTTTAAACAAGAGAAGAACCTGAAAAAATCTCACAGATGAAGAAATTAATGATATTTTAAAGAGAGTAAAATAAATGGGTAATCACTGGAATTTGATTTTGTGGTGCTATGCATTTCACAAAGGATGAACAAATGCTTGTCTTTCTGAGAAATACAACAGGTTACAAGTCAATGTCAAACTTTCTCATATCATATGCAAATCATATGCACTATCAGGTCATTTTTTGAGCTTTTGTTCCTGATTCGCTTGCAAAGAAACATGGGATGAAAAATTGGCAACCTGTGAGCTGATCTTTGTGCCATTTCACTGCTGTGCACACTGAGGTTTTGAATGGTCTCTGTAAACTAATCAGTTTTTATGCTTATGGAGAACAAAACTGGGAGGCATTAGAGTGGCACCTGATAGGGTACAAAGGGTTTCAGCTGAGGGCTGGATTAATACCCGTGTTTGCTAGGAAGTGGATATGTTCTTGGTTCAGTCAATTGGTGAGGGTCTGTGAGATTTTCTGTTGTAGTTTTTGCTTTGTTTCATGTGTATGCTTCTTACACAGAGGTGTGGTTTATGGATGGAGTAGGTAACGTTACTGCTGTACTCTCAGTAAATGTGGGGGGGTTGGTGGCAACCATTTATACTCTGAAATCTTTTCTAAAAATTGTACTGCGTTTTGTGATAATGGTTGTCTTGATATTTTTATCTCCCATCTTGCAGAAACAAGAAAAACAAGGATCATCATCAAAGTCTTTCAAGAGAATTTTGGATTTTAATACATGAAGTTGAAGAACAGCATTGTTAACAGTGAGGTACAGTTACTACAATTCCAACTTCTAGAGAATGAGTTTAGATGAGTTCAGACCCATGTTTTGTACTGCTAACATTCATAACAATTGTTATGCTTTGCAGATTTCAGTTAAACTGTAAGTTTTTCTAGCACCAATAAAGCTTTTACCAGTAAAAGTTACTTTTAGTTTTTAAAAATGTAAACTTCTTTGTAAACTTTTGATCGTGACAATTAATTTGGCTTTGTCTGAGCATTTTTAGTTTGCTTCATCCCATTTGCAAGAAAAGGCTTATTGCCAAAATGCTAGAAGCTGGAAAGAAGCAGTGTTCTGACTTCCTCTTCATCAGTGAAATTAGCAGCTGAAGGACTTTGTCATGGGTTTGGTGTGTATGGGAAAAATAGGGTACACTGTCAGATGTGTAGGAGAGATGCAGCCAGGTCAGCAATTCAAATTAATGGAAACGCTTGAGTGAGCGTGGAGGTGATAAAAAAAAAAAACCTTTCTAATGATATCGAAACATTTATGATATAAATGCTACCAAGTACTGAATTGGAGAATGCAATTTGTTACTCAAGAAATCTACATACTAGTGGAATTTCTGTACACAAGATTGGGTACTTTTAGAGAGGACAGTGGTAGAACAATCTTTTCTATTCTTATCTGCAAATAATTTTGTGTGAGACAAGATACGTCTGTGGTGGAAAACACTAAAAGTATGTTTGAAAACTGCTCAGTATAGTGGATGAATCTTAAATGGGTACACAGAATCACACAGAATCACACACAGAATCACCCGGGTTGGAAGGGACCTCAAGGATCATGTAGTTCCAACCCCCCTGCCTAGCAGGGCCACCAAACACACACATTCAGATCAGGTTGCCCAGGACCCTGTCCAACCTGGCCTTAAACACATCCAAGGACGGGGCATCCACAACCTCCCTGGGCAGCCCGTTCCAGGGCCTAACCACTCTCCTTGTATAGAACTTCCCCCTAACATCCAACCTAAATCTTCCCTCCTTCAACTTCGATCCATTTCCCCTAGTCCTGCTGTTGTCAGCCCTTTTGAAGAGTTTACTCCCCTCGTGGGTGTAGGTTCCCTTCAGGTATTGATAGGCTGCAATGAGGTCACCCCGCAGCCTTCTCTTCTCCAGGCTGAACAAGCCCAACTCCCTCAGCCTGTCCTCATAGGGGAGGTGCTCCAGCCCCCTGATCATCTTAGTCGCCCTCCTCTGGACCCTTTCCAAAATCTCAATGTCTTTCTTGTACTGAGGGCTCCACACCTGGACACAGTACTCCAGATGGGGCCTCACAAGAGCCGAGTAGAGAGGGACGATCACCTCCCTGTCCCTGCTGACCACCCCTCTCCTGATGGAGCCCAGGATCCCATTTGCCTTTCGAGCTGCCAGAGCGCACTGCTGGCTCATGTTCAGTCTCTCGTCCATCAGGACCCCCAGGTCCTTCTCTGCCGAGCTGCTCTCAAGCAGTACAGGTACTAGGGTACAAGTAAATGGTAATGCAGGGCTTGTGAAAATGGCAGAACTTAAAGGTGGAACATTTAGTATGTGGTTTATTTGCAGTATTTCTTGACTAGTATGGATGACTTGGATGATATTTGTGGACCTACATAAAATACTGCAGCTGTGAATGACGCACAGTGTAACTACTGGTAAATTTGATTTCATTTTATGGTGGGACTTCTTTGCTTGTTGTTCAAGTTGGTGAGCAGAACCACTGTTTCTGTTAAGTTCATAATGTTTACTTAATCTTTTGGGAAAGCCTTTGTGACTTGTTTTTCTTTTTTTCCATGATAGCCTTATTATTTGAATTCTGATTGTTAGTATAGAATGGCAAAAATGTAGTTACTTTGCTGTGGGCTTCCACAGCGATGTAGCTCAAGTGCTTGAAAACAAACCTGAAGAGGAAGCATCAGATGATGCTAATATAATAAATACGTCTTTTAATGGTTTTCATCTTTGGCACTTCCTTTTTCTTACTCAAATGCTCAGGCAGCGGTAAAAATGCCTCGAGTCTGTCTTGTCCATCCTCTTTACTCGAGCTGTGCAAGAAGGGGGCTGTGAACGTCCCCTTAAGTCTGATGAGTCGCGTTCTGGAACACGCTGCTTCCGTGCCGCACAGCGGGCGGAGCGGAGTTGCGCCGTGTCCGCCGCCACCAGGGGGCGCCGCAGCGTCCGCCCCGCTCGCAGAACGGCACCGCCCAGAGCGGGGGGCGCTGCCGGGGCTGCCCGGGCGCCGCCTGATCGGAACGCGGCGCGGCTGAGAGCGGCTGACGGCCGCCGGGGGCGGGGCGCGGCGGGGCGGCGGCGAACGGCTGCGGGGCCGGGAGCGCGGCGGGGTGGCCGCGCGGGCGAGCCGGGGAGAGGGAGGAGCGGGGTCCTCGGCGGGCCCGGGTGAGGTCACTCTTTGTGGCGGCGGTTGGCAAGATGGCGCCGGTGCCGGTGGAGAAGAAGCTGCTGGGGCCAGACGGGCCCGGCGGCGCCGATCTCCCCAGCGAGGAGGAAGAAGGGCAGAACCTGTGGTGAGCGGCCGGGCCGGGGGGACGCGCCTTCCGGGCCCGCGGGCCGAGCTGCGCCGCGCTGCTGGGCGTCCCGCTCTGTCACGGTGGGGCAGCCTGCCTCGCGGGGCCGCCTTCGCTCCACCTGCAGCCGGGGGCTGGCGCGGGCCTCTTCGGGCCCGGGTCGAGCGAGTACCCCGCTCCGATGCGGCAGGGCCGTGAGGCGGCCGCGCTCGGGCCCGGCGGGCGGGGTGCGGCAGGGAGCAGCGGCAGGGCTGGGGCCGCGTCGCTGTGGCGGCGGCGTGCGGGGCCGGAGCGGCTCTTACCGCGCGGGGACCGCAGGGATGGGGTCTGGGAGGCTGCGGTGCTTGTTCTTAGGCGCTTATCTCTTGAAAACAGCGGTAACGGAAGAAAAATGTGTGAGCGAAATACGGTAATGGATTGTGGGAAGAGTTAGTCATCAATTGGAAAGTAATGCATTGCAGTGACGTGACTGCTGCTAGGGGAGAAAAACTTCACTGCCTGTGCTCTAGGGATTGTAAATCTGTCCCTGCAAAAAGGTGGCTTATTTCTGGAAACGCTGGAAAGAGAAATGAACTCAAATTCTTACCTGTTTCATACCTGGTTTGTGAACAGGGTGAGTGTACCCCAGCCCGTGTGGGCTGTGGAACTCAGGGTGCTGTCAGGGAGTGTTGTGTTTCTGGGCTGTGTGTAGGAGCTGTGTGTCCCTGCTGATGGCCTGACCGCACCTTCTGCCTTTCCAGGTCATCGATACTGAGCGAGGTTTCCACCCGGTCGAGATCTAAACTGCCCTCTGGCAAAAATATTCTTGTTTTTGGTAAGTAGCAGATGCAGGAACGCGGCCCGTCTGCTTTCTGTAGAGGCAAAGCACGTTGAGAACAATGATGTGAACACACTGACGCATCTGTTGGATAAAATTAGCTCCTGTAAAGTGATCTGTGGTGTTCTTTTCTCCAGGCTGGCAGTTTTACTTTCTTTTTGGCTTATGCTGTTAACTTATAATGTGTAATTAGATAAATGGGGGATAGTGATAGACAGTGGAGTGCTTCTTTCTTATTTCTGTGGTATAAAGCATTGGATTCAGCTGGCATACTTGGAAGAAAACCCAGCAGGTTTTTCCCATAATCAATAAATACACAAGAAGACTTTTCGTTTCCAGTTGTGTTTTGAAATTCCATTCAAGTTAATTCTGAAACTGTCTTTTTCTTTCCTGTAAAAACTTACTGGCAGGTGATGATGGCTCAGGTAAAACCACGCTTATGGCTAAAATACAGGGAGCAGAATATGGCAAAAAGGGAAGAGGACTGGAATACTTATATCTAAATATTCACGATGAAGACAGAGATGGTAAGGTCATCTTATATGTAATCTGTTTATGTAATTAAGTACCTGACGTTTTTATGTAACTCTGGCTTCAACTTTGGGTTACACCCAAGTAGCTGGTTCCAATGTTGTTGTGTACGTTCTGTAAGGTATATTGATTTCTTAAGTGAAGGGCATTTTATGTTCAGATTTGATCTATTTCTTGCCTGTTTTATAGCTTCACCTGTGAATGAGGTAGAAGTGTGCTTGACCTATTGGTGTAGCTCAGGATTCAATTAATTTCAAGATAAATAAGTCTGCTGGTGTTGAGTTACAAGGAGATTATTTTCATTTAGTAGGACTGCCTTACAACTACAGAAAGGTGGTGGTGATACATCATCAAAATTTTATTTGGATATCAGATAAAAATTTAATATGAATTTTGGGATTTAAGGTTTTCTTGATTTCTTGAGCGGTGTGTGGAATTTTGATGAACTGTAGCTGAGCCATCTTGTTGGAGTTGAATAAGTAAAGAACAGAACATGAAGTCAGAATTAGTGTTTCTCAAATTGCGGGTTTTCTCACTTGTCCCTTTTTGTTGCTTTTGGTGATGACGATGTTCAGAAAAGCAAGAGACTGGTCTAATGGTGAGAATATCACTAATCTCATTTCGTCTATTTTGCTGAATGTTAGAGACAGGAAGAGGTGAAGAGTGAGCTCGTTGTTCTTGCTCCTAAATCTGCCTGTGTCGTTCGGGCAAACTACTGAACCTCTTTGTGCTAGTTTTCCTCCCCCAAGACTGGAATGGTGGTTTTCCTGTATATGACCTTCTGAGTTTAAAATGGGAAGAAGGAAGCAGTGATGGGGGTTTAACTATGTTTCTGAAAAAAAGATGAACTGGGAAGATCCTGTCGTGGCATTTTGGAAATGGAAATGTACTGAAAGGTTTGCATGAGTTATTAAGTACTGTATGCATCTGGTTGTTATGGAGATTGGTCCTGTGCTCATGTGGTGATAAACTGCCTTTAGATAGTAGATTCGGCGCAGCTCGTGTATGAGCGCACTGCCTGTGTCATCAGTGGGTGCCTGATCTTACAGTTCCTAAAAATGTTCTGTGGTGTAAGTTTCAGCATTGAGGCCGTTCCTTACTGCTTGAGGTTCTTCATGTATGTGCTTCTTCACTGTGTGTCATCGTGTTCAGTACTGTGTAAATAGATCAGAGTGAAGAAACCCTAGGGCTGTTAAGATGCTGTGTGATATGGAGCTTAGGGCAGCTACAAAGGAGATGGTATTATAAGCAGATGTAACATGACATAAGTTAGATGTGATGTTCTTAGTGGTGCTGTTAAGCTTCAAGTATGTCCCTACTCTGGAAGTATTTGTGGGCTATTCCTGAAAGTGATAAGTATTTGTGGTGGTTAGGAGAGGCTTGTTGTAAGAGCTCTGGCAGTGTGTAGCAGGAGAAAATCAGACCTTTTTGACTAGCTGACTCAGCTGGATAATTCAGGTCTTCGTGCATCCCTTCAGTAGATGTGATAGGATCTAATAATATCTGCATCTTTCCTTTTTGTCTTGTTAGCGTCATCAGCAAGCTAAATAAATAGCAAAGTGGGTCAGGACCTCCTGACAGACGAAGTTAACGCTCTGATTTCTCCAGTACATGTTCTGTTTTGTTTTTTTAACTCTTCACATGCTTTAGGTGTGTACGTATTTGGATACAGTTTTGGGAACTAAACCTTTGCAGCTGTCCCACAGTTCTTGGAAGCCATGAAGAAACGAGATAGGTGGTCAGAAGCTAACTGCTGTATATTCATTTTTGAGCATATCTGCTTTTTACTGTATTCTGGTCTACTTGAGACCAGCAAACAACATGGATTTATTTGCAGAGGTGTCAGGTCAACACTGATAACTGAACCTCTGCGTCAGGGTGAAGAAGGTCTTGTCAGCTTCTTTCTCAAGTGCTGGGAGATGACTTTTCCCTTTTTTTGCTTTTTGGAAGAGTTTATTATTTCCATGAAGAATATTTTCATCATTGTGCCGAGTCATTATCCACTTCCCACCTCGCTTTGCAAATCTTAAGGAAATCTTCTGTATTGCTTCTTGTTTCCATCTCCTGCTCCCTTTCCTGTCTTACTTCTTAAAGGATTTTTGTATCTGACTCCTCTTCTGTTTGAAGGAGAGTCGCTTTGCTTCATGTTGGGTGACCCTGGGTGCATGATTTAGTTTACTGTTGTCTGTTCACTTTAAGAAAAGTTACACAGATGCATATAAATTTTTTTGAGCACCTCAGTGCTTAATATAGGTGCCCACTGACTTGTTTTCATTGGCAGTGGTGGATACCTAGCTTGGGTGTCAAAAATGCATGTCGCCCCTGCTTCAGTTCTGTTCCATCAGGCATTAGATGGTTGCTGTAACACATGCTGCTTTGATCTTTAGGCCTCAGGATAGCTTAGAGTTTCAGTACTGGACCTCTTCTACCTGAAAAATCTCCTCCTTAGGGTACTATCCCAAATTCTGCCTAGGCTAAGACATTTGTTCCTGTAGAGACTCAGGGACACCCAACCAGCAGTACTGAGAGAGAGAGAGGGAGGGAGAGAGAGAGAGAGAGAGAGAGTTCTCCTAAGATGCAGTATCCTTTGAGCATATGGCTTCTATGTATATGGCCCCTCAGTTCATCTGGATGAAAGTACTTACAGCACTAGCTGTGCAGTTGTCTCAGAATATTTATTGGCCTTTGGGCTCAGGCCCTAGAATCCTCTGTTAGTGGCATTTCCCAGGGATGTAAGTTAGAATTCTTTGCCTTTGTGTTGAGTAGGTGTCTTTGTGTCTCTGCTGTTTGCAAAGTCTGTTTGCTTTTGAGAGCTGTCTTAACTGGTAGGGTGTAGATGGGGGGGGATCTGCATAATTTTATTACAGGATTTATTTCTGGAGCAACTTTCAGACTCTCATAGGATGATAGATCACAGTTAAAGAGAGGGTGTGCAGCAGGTCAGTGAAATAAACTACGTCAGCTGTTCAGGTGGCTGGCTTCGTAGCAATGCCCATATGGGTTAGCAGGCAATTATAAATACCGTAGAGATCTTTCAGTTGGTCTTCATATTACCTCTGCAATACAGTTGTCTCTGGCTGTGCAAAACATGCAGGTGAGATACAGTCATTCATACTTGTAAGAAAATCAAGTAGTCTTTTTTTTTGCCTCAGGTTTGGACTGGCCTCAGTCATATCATGTACATATTCCAGTTGAACTGGTTATTCCAGCGTGAGCCAAGGGCTGCTGGTTTCTAATGGGAGTTTTTTTGTCGACATCTTTAAGCTAGTTCTATTGAAAGTGATTTTCTCCTGTTTTCTTCCACATATGGCTTGGATAATTACCATTGATACATTTTGAATAAAGGAAATGTTATTGCACTTCACAGAATCAAACTTCTGAAGTAAAATTGATTAAAGGTGGAAAACCCTTTTTGGAGCTTAAGGATAAACTATTGACAGGATTTGGAGATGTAGTCTTAGCAGTGATTGTAATAGTCTTTAGTTAGCAACACCTGTTACTGCAGCAGGATCTGGTAATTATTTGCTCTGTGTTGGCATCTTGTGTCGTAGCCATGATGAAAGGTCCAGTTAACATTCACATCGTATGACTAATAGGAGCTTGATGTGGTGCTGACAAAGTTGAATTTGCCTTCTAGTCCTTGCCAAACTGTCAACAAGCAGTGCTGTAGCTTTCGGTGTGTTTTATATTTGTAGCAGTTGAAAATCCCAAACTATACCTGATGGTTGTCTTTTTACTATAAGAAGGGAGGAAAACCTTTCACTTTTTATTTTCATATGGTGTTATATTTAAAAAAAAAAAGAAGAAAAGGCAAGCAAACAATGGTGCAATTACGTTACATTAATGTGAGAGTTGGGCTTCTGGTCTTCTTGGCAGGTTGATTTCATTTGAGTGACAGTTCCACTGTGCGTTCTAGATTCAGTATGCATTCTAGATGTTAAGTACAAACTAAAACCTTAAGTAAGACAAAGGTGTTTAGTAAACAAAATATTTCCAACCTTTATTGTTATTGGCTTAAAAAAGCGGCAGCAAATCAGGGAATTAAGTTGTTCATTGAATTTTGTTACCTGCTGGGATGTGGAAGTCCTTTTTGTGATTGAAGCAGTCACCACAGGAGAAACTGTTGAAATGTAAATGAGAGTTGTAACTTTTTATAGCTTATAGGCAGACTTTAGTTTTCTAAAAGTTAGTAGTGAGTATGGGGAGGTGGGAAGGGACAAATAATTGATGAATGATGTATTTCTTAAATATGCAAGAATTGTTTTAACTGCTCACTGCAAAAGATAGTTCTGAAGTGCCCAATTGGCAGAAAGATCTTTAATTAATTGGGAAGCATAACTGTCGGCCTTTGTGATGACTGATGATTGAATGCCCTGTGATACCTAGCAGTACCTAAATAGGAGGATAACAGAGATGCAGAAGAAAGGCTGCCTGTGTACAGCATCTTGATGTACTCTGTCTGTAATTTGGACTGTTCTGTGATGTTATTCGAGACCTAATTAGCAAGAGATACATGCATATCTCTGCGCTCTTTTCTCCTTCCAATTTCTTCAGTCAAATTTTTGCCTTTTTCTAGAGCCAACGTTTTTTGATCCTGATGTTTTTTTTTTTCTTGAAGTTCTGACAGCCACAGAGACTGGATTTATTTTGTGCAGCTGAAAGATTTGGAACACATGTCAAGGAAACACAGGGACAACGGCTCATAAAACTCGGTAGCAGTTTTAAAAATCTGTGCTCTGCAGAGATTGGCCTGCAGACTGAGTGCATGTATTTCATAATTCATCTCTCATCTGTAATGCTTGTGGAGACCCACTGTTCCCTCTGGACATCTGGAATAGAATGGAGAACACTTTGAAAGAGATACTACAAAGAGTCTCCTAAATACAACAAGGAGACTTGTGTCTTTTCCACTGGAAGCTTCTGAGGATTATGTAATTTGGTTAGACTTGGTTGTCCAGAGTGTCTGATGCATCCCTCCTGGATGATGCAGCATTTTCAGTTTCTTCTGTTCTTGGCAAAGTTCATGCTTGCTGCCTGTCCCAGGGGATTATTTCCCCTTGCATTTCAACAAAAATTGTTTGATCACTATCCAGGTGCTATGGGGAGAAACACAAAAACTAAAATACCAAGTCTTTTGTCCTGTACTAATTCTATGAAGACACTGTAAATGGAAGCCAGTATTAAGTCACTGTGAATTAAGGGCTGATAGCTTTAAAGTTTGGTAGGTTTTATATTTATCCTGTGTTTGGCTCCTCCTACTCCTGTGCTAGAGACCTAAGCTGCTTACTGTTTGTATCTTGTTTGCAGCTTAGTTCTGTTGTGAGATCTCTTGGGTTTGTTAAAGCAGTGTCTGAGGGACACTTAAGGCTTTCTGACCGAATACAGCTGTGCCCACTCTCTTTGGAACTTGGCATTACACGTGTTAGATGGGCGCTTGGTTTACTCGACATATACTTACCTCAAATTGAGAAAGGCCATCTGATGTCTAAAAGCTGTTGTGTCATCTGCCAATAATAAAAGCCAAGGAACTGAAATTACATGTTAAACAAGAAGATTCTGAATCAAGGACAGTCCTGTTTAAATGGAGGCATCTATCAATTAACGTAGGCACTTGTGCACCTGTGAGAAATGACAGGATCTGCTGGTAGCTGGGCTCTGCTCTTTCCTTTGACACTGAAGAAGTCCTCTGTTGGCTCCTATGCTAGCAAAGCAGCAGGCTGACATCCTTTGAGCTACAACTATGCTTTTTCTTTTCAGATCATACGCGCTGTAATGTTTGGATTCTGGATGGAGACTTATACAATAAAGGCCTGCTGAAGTTTGCCGTTTCTGCAGAATCCCTGCAAGACACCATTGTGGTCTTTGTTGCGGATATGTCTAGACCTTGGACTGTTATGGAGTCTTTACAGAAATGGGCCAGTGTCTTGCAAGAACATATTGATAAGCTGAAAATTCCTCCGGAAGAAATGAGAGACATGGAACAGAAATGTAAGTCTTTGTGCATCCCTACATAATTGCTTTTTTTTTTTTAACCTGTCTCTTGCCACTTTCTTTGGTAATGATTAATATCTTCTGGCTAGTGTGTTGAGAATGCATTGAGTAACGATTGCTTTGAAGTTATGAACATAACAGTAGACTGTTAGGCTTTAAAAGAAGTCTTGCAGTTTTGTTGTGCTAGCAAAATTTCAGGTGAATTGTCTAAATTCCTTGCAATCATGAGATTTTGATAATTTTTTTTTTTAAAGCATTTCTTAAAAAAACATGGAATCATGTTTTTAAACACAGTGTCAGAATTCAGTAGCAAAGTGAGCTGTCTGCTTTCCTGTGGGTATCCAAAGCAGGTTCCATTTCCTACTATGTATGTTCCCAATATATTTCTTTGCCCTTGCTTTTCATGAGCCTCAGACCATGGTCCTGGTACGTCTCACTGTGGCTGTTCTTGCCGTGTGACTTTAGGAATGTTGTATAAATTTAGTTTCTTGCCTGGCATAACTGTGGCAGGAATGAATCTGGCGCAGGCAAGCAGTCGCTGCTGCAGTACTGCTTCCTGCAGCTTCTTTTCTTCTGAAATAATTTGGAGAGTTCTTACAGACTTCTTTTCTGTATTCAAATTGAATTACTCCAAAAATAAATTCCTTCGGTGGAAAAGATCTTAGCAACATGCTCCTTTGCAGCTCAAGTACAGATGGATACTGATCCTGGGTGGGCGCTGCTTTCTGTTGGTGGTTTGTTTTTTGCAGGACTGGTTGCTGTGTTTACACCTTGGCAGATTTGGTCTCGTAGCTTCCTCAAGTTCACTTCAGGGAGCAGTGTAATCTGTTTGGCATGTGGGCATTCAGATGTATTTCTATAGCTGATATCCTTTCTGAATGTTAAATACTGCTTTCCCAAAAGGCCTGTGCCTACACCATACTGGTTCAAGTATATTATATTATATTATATTAGTATATTATATATATTAAATAAAAAACAATAAGGGAAAAAGCATTATTTTTGAGGAGTAGTGGATGGAAAAGCAGTTTGATTTCAAAATACTGCCTTTAATCTGATTTGCATTTTTGGAAGTGCACCAAATTTTATAAAATAATTTTATAAAATTTTATAAAATAAAGATGGAGTTCTTTGTGCTTCTGAAGCTGACTTTTGAATAGGAAAGTGTGTTCAGCCTTCGCTGAGTGTGCACTGTGTGGAGGATTCAGTTACAGTCACAGCTTCAGCACAGCCCTTGGGGAACTGAGAAGCCGTTCCAGGAGTAGTGCCATGGACAGTTACAAAGGGAGTACCTTCAAAATTCCTGGTGTGTCTTGGTTTTTGATAGAGGGAAAGGAAAATGCGCAAGCTGCCTGTTTGACACGCTTGTAGGGCTCTGCTGCCATCGTGTGGGTGAGCGCTGAACTTCAGTCTGTTACAGACATGCAGGTAAAACGGGGCCTTCGTCTCGGCTGCAGAGCATCCCTCCTGCTGCTTCTCTCAGTCGCTGTGTAGGATAGTTGTCTGCTCTCATACGTGACTTTTAAGTTTCTGTAGGCTGTCCCTAAGGCTAAATTACTACTTAAAACTTTGGCTGCTGTAACGGCCAAGTATGCCCAAGAAATGGATGCTATGGTTCTGGCCATATTTTGCAGCATAACTTCTTTGAATATAAAAAGCATGTGTGCCTGAAGTGTGTTTTGTGACTGTGGTCCCCCAAAAGGCCATGCCTGCAAAGTTCTCCGTGCTGAAGTTCTGTACTGCCTCCTGAGATAAGCTGCTGCTCAGAAAGTGGAGAACTCCATGCAGCAATAGCAATTATGAAAAAAAAATGGGATGATAAAGCATGTATGTAAAGCAGGCAATCAAAACATAGAACAGGTGCAGAGCTGTTAAATTCATGCTAGTAAAAGCCCCTCTGCAGCATTCTGCCTCATGGAGATACGTGTTTCCTGATTTCAGCTCTTATAACCATGTGCCCTTCTGCTTGCTTCTAGACTTAAGGTGGGGCACATGGATAAAGCTTTCAGTGGCAGCTCTGGTTCTTGTTGGCTCTGGGGAAATGTTTTCTAGTATCCATCTAAACTGTTGCTAGGTTATTATTTCTCTATTACTCAGATCTTTCTGGTAGTTTCTGGAAAACAATGTTGTTAGCTCACCATTTTTGAATGGAATTGAATTTTGGACTGCCTGCCTTTGCTTTCAAGGTTTTTGTGGCCTTTCTCCACCCTGCCTTTGGTGTTTGCTGTTTGAGATACAGACTCCAGGCTCTGCTGGGTGGATAATGCCAGGCTCCATCTGGCACATAGGAGACTTTCCCTTTGTGTTCAAGAGCTTCTATGATGGGAGGCAGGATGCACCTAAGGAAGCAAGAGGCTGCCTTGAAAAAACCTGAAATATTCAGACTGTACCAAGAATGTAATTTTGTCTGTGCTCAGTCCTCTTACTGAGCTGCTCTTGCTCGCTCTGGATTCAAATAAACCTTCAGTTCATGTGTTTTAACTTCATATTTAAATAGTGATTTATCAGAATTAGTACAGTCAGTTCAGAGAAAGTCTGAATTATGTCTCCATACTTAATAATGCAAAAGAAAAAAAAAAAAACAAACAGAAATCAGGAAGTGCAGAAATGCAGTATGCTTGTAAAATGGCTGTTATGTTATGGAGCATTTAGAGCTGAATACATGAAAGACAGTAACATACCAGAAAATTAAGTCGTGTCCCTGTTGAAGCTGAAGTGGTTGTATGTTCTCTGCCTTTTCTGCATCAAACATACAGCTGTAAGAATTTGTAAAGCAAAAGAAACATACTTTTTCTGGACATCTCTTCAGCAGTTTCTTACTCAGACCAACATTTATGACCACACTGCACAAAAAAAGCCAAATGCTGCCTGAGTTATTGGTGAAGTGGAGTAGAGTGGTAGCAGGGCTCTGAATCCTTTTTGGTATTTTTCTTGTTCTGCTACTCAGTGCTTCTGTGTTCTGTGCACTCACTGAAGCTGGTGTGTTTTGTCTGTAAAATCTGCTAGTTGCTTTTTAGGTGCTGCTTCCCATCAGTTGCTTCTGTGCTAGGAGCAGTGCCTGCCCTTACAGGTAACTTCCAGTGATTCTTTGTAAATAATCAGCAGTATAAGAGCAGAATTGTTCAATTAATTGGAAACTTGAATTTGCTTACTGTGTCAAATGCAAAAATACCCTTATAATCCATTAAATACAAATAAAGATCTTATCTGAATGAGCCACAGGTTTGATAGACAAATGAGCACACTGTAGTGGATGCTTGATTTTTTCGTTTTTATTTTTTAATTGCATATTATCATCTGGTGATAGTTTTCAAGTCTGCTAGACAACTCACTGTACTCTCATCCTTACTGGTACATAGCAGCAGTCATTTTTCTGCCTTTTATTGAATGTGCACTTGCTTCAATTTATTTCTATAAGAAAAAATGTTTTTTCACGGATCATTAAAACAAAAAATGATGAATTAATGGCTGTACCTTACATAATGTCATTCCTTAATGTGGTGTGTATGGCAGAGAACATATTAATAGCTTGCTTTAAGGAGGAGAGGAAATGCAGGCTCCTGTAAGCTGTTTGATGGAAGATGAACTGCAGGTCCAATAGATGTCTGAGAGCAGAGATCAAGTGGGAAAGCAGTGGATGAGCGTGAAGTTGCTGTCTGACGAAGGAACACCTGAACAGAAATGGGCCTGCACTTGTAGCAGTTGTTGACAAGAGCTGTTTGTTGCACTTGTGATGCAGGTTTACTCCCACTGAAGTTCTGCATGGAACGTGGGGCTGAAGGGGAGTCCTGACAAAACTGCTGCAGCACCCACCACTCCCTGGTGTTTAAATGGCTTGAGGCATGCTCAAAGCAGGTGCTTCTGTGCTCAAGATCCAATTGTCCGAGTTTCTCAGTACAGCTTTCAGCTGCTTTTATCCGTAATCACCAATTCAGCAATACCTTTGCTAACTGAAACCGTGTCTTGAAGCAATTCTCAGTGCTGGCCCTGGGTTAATAGCAGGCTGTGTGCAGGACTGACAGTGGACAGCAGCAGTGGCTTGTGCAGTTCCATCTGTGGTGAAGGTTTCCTCCCTGGCACCAGATCAGCCAGGGTGGGATGCAGCTCTCTGTGTGCAGGGTACAATGGAATTTCCGTCTCCAGCTGCTGAATGTGAGGCAGTACTGACAGAGGGCATCTCCCTGAAAACATTTTGGTTTCTTCTCCACCAGAAGGCACTGCCTTGCCAGGTTTAAAAGTCACTGGATTTTTTTTTATTAATAAAAAAAAAAGAAATTCCTTGGTTCTTGTGAGATTCTGAACTGATGACTGAAAGTCTGTAGTAATCCATGTTTATGTATTTATTTTTATAACTTTGTATTTATATTTTATAACAAGAGCTTAGAGCTCTTTCATGAGAATGACACACATTTGTTTGTGACGAACACTGCCATTTGTGCAGCTTTGGGCAGAATTGTTTTTCTGACTTGTCCTTTCTTCCACATCTCATTCTGCCACAGAAGTATTTCCTATTTAGAAAAGGTACAGTGACTTCATTTTGCAGGCTTTGTATTGCAGACGTTGCTGAGTTTTTACCACTTCCTAAACCTCAGAAGTATCAGATGGCCCTGTCACGTGGCTGCATGTACTGAACAACAGGCTCTTTGTGAATGTGTTGGCGGCTCAGCCTTGTGGAAAAGCTTTCCTTACTGTATGGTCTGCTCTCACCGTGGATCTGAGGACTTTGAGTGTAATAAGGATGCCTTCATGGGAGCACGTGGTGGAGCTGTGGGGTGGTTGGCCTGGCGTGGACAGTGGGCTGTGGCACACAAGAGCTGCCACCCAGCTTGGTGAAGGAATGTGTGGGTCCCACTTTGCTTCCCGAATGGTGCTAATACTATTTTTAGATGCTTCAGTGTTTGATAGTGCTCAGTGTATCAGTGGAACACTCAGCACTGCCATAAGATGGAAGGACAGAACACATCTCGCTTTCTCCAGGCTGTGCTGTAATTTTGCAGAATGTGGTTGAGTCTCTTTTGCTAACGTTTAGATGTCCTTGAGTCTGTATTTATGCAGTGTATGTTTTATGTTTCTGGCATTTGGCTCCTGTAAGAGAAATTTAGAGTAACAGAAACTTAAATTATGGTCTATAAGGTTAGTAGTGTAAGAGCGGCTGTTTCAAAATAGTATTTTTTTTTTGTCCATTTACATTCTTACCATGTTTTTGTTGCAAGACCAGATAGAAATTGCACTGCTATGGACTAGGCTGTGAAACTAAATTTACGTTTTCTTTTGGCAGCTCCATTGTAATGAAATGAGTTGAACTGAGAAGTGTACATTTGTGTAACCAGTGTTGCTGGTTTGTAGTAACTACTGCTGTAAATTTTGGGAGAGTTGTGTTAGAAGAGGCAACAAGGCTTAAAGTTGCATTGTGTTCTGGTGGAATGCTCATTTTAAAGAAAAAGAAGAAAAAAAGGAGATTTCAAGTTAGCTATTGATAAAAATATTTTAGCTCACATTATTTCTGATCTAAAAAGAACAGCTAATTCCTTTGTTTTGTCTCACAAATATCTCTCTTTTCGTAGTTATAAAGGAATTTCAAGAGTATGTAGAACCTGAAGAAGGCTACCAAGGATCACCCCAGAGAAGGGGCCCTTCTTCAGGCCAAGAGGATGAAAGTGTTTCTTTGCCACTTGGAGAAAATGTGCTGACACACAACCTTGGTATTCCTGTGCTGGTAGTTTGTACAAAAGTGAGTTTCTAGTTCTGTTTGCTACTGTGGAAGCACCTAGTTACTTTACTGTTAGAATGTTGTGTTATACAGCCATGCACAGTTTATTTTGGATTAATAATAAAGATACTTATTTTGAAAGTAAGCTTAGTCATCAGTGTCAGTTTTTAATTTTGCAGAAGGGCAGTAACATGCTGATCACTTCATCTTTTGACGTAGTGGTGGCATTTCAAAACCAGAGACTCAGAGTAAACGTGGTGTTTGTAATACTAACGAAAGGGTAGAGATGTGCTGGGATTAAATGATTGATTTTTTTCTGATATTGTTTTTCTCCTATTCTTCCAGTGTGATGCAGTGAGCGTACTAGAGAAGGAGCATGATTACAGAGAGGAGCACTTTGACTTCATTCAGTCACACATTCGTAGATTCTGCTTACAGTGTATCCTTTCCTGCTCTGAAGAGATTTTCTGAAATCTGGAAGCAAGAAAATAATGTTTTTGTTTTGAATTAGGCATAAAGTTAATCTGAGGAATTGCACTTTGAAGTAGTATTTAGCTGTTTATTACATAGCTTTTCTTGCTGTAAAGGTGTTTAAAAATGCATACAATGTGCAGCTTTTCAAAGTTAAGTGACTAGGAGGCACCTAACTTTGGTATGTCAGTAAAAGTATGATAAATCTTCTCTTGTTGTACTTCCTTTCTCTCCCCAAACACTGAGTAGTGATAGTTCTTGTCTAATTACTTTTTCAAACATGGATCCTAATAGGTATGTGACTGTTGCACTCCTGTTTTGAAATTACTAATATAATTTTAAAACTGTATCCTACGTATTTTTCCTTAAATAAGTAATCAGATGGAGCTGCCTTGATTTATACATCAGTTAAGGAGGAAAAGAACCTTGATCTGTTGTATAAGTACATTGTACATAAAACGTACGGTTTTCAGTTTACCACTCCTGCCTTAGTGGTAGAAAAGGATGCAGTTTTTATGTAAGTCAATTGTACAAAGCAATCTGGAAGCATATTGCTTCTATTAAATGCCACACATTATACAGACATAGATGAAAGACCTACATCAATTATTTTATTGTATTATAGTAAGTTGGAAATGGAATGTAAACTACGATAATAAATGTAAATACTTTAAGTATCTTTTTCCTTCTAATGGAAAGGATGTCGTATTGCAAAACTAGTCTTTGAAAGTAGTATTTAAAGAAATAAGTGAGACTCGAGTTATTGTCTTTTGTCATTTTTCGTATCTATGAAATACTTTCAGACATCTCTTCTAATTATATGTTCTCAGTCTTGTTTTTAAACAAAAATGACTCTAATGAAATCTTCTGACGAACTTCGGCACGTACCTGTTGTGCTTCCAGCAATTTGGAAGCATCTTTTAGAAGTGCCACTTTTGAAGTGTTTTGATTTTTGTTACTTTAGATAAAAGATACCTGGAGCATACTGGCTGGTTCTGAAAAGAGCAATATGTAAACTTGAATGGTTTGTGTCATTTTTTCGGAACAAGTGGTCTCTATATCTGTAATTTCTGTGGCTCAAAAGACAAACCTCTCCTTCAATTCTTTTCATAGACCTGCTGGTTGGGACAATGAAAAGAAAATTGCCATTTTACATGAAAACTTCACAACAGTGAAACCGGATGATACATATGAGGACTTCATTGCAAAACCTCCTGTACGAAAGGTAAGAAGAGGTAAACTCTTTTCCGTCTGATAAATAAGTACAGTTTGCTTGAATGGTTGCTAACAGCAGTGTTGAAAATCTTCAAGTCTAAATACTTTTTTTTGTATCCAAAAGCATAAACTGTCAGGTCTTTATTTTCCACTAATTTAAGATACTAAAACAAAGAAATCATTCACCCTAGTGAATCAAAGGCAGTCCAAAATCATCCATTTCATGTGAACCTTTTGGGAAGTGTAGTGCAAAAATGCCTTTTGTAAACTGAGTATGCTATTCTAAGAGTTCAACAGTTTCACAAGTGCTTTTGAGGCTATTATAAAAAAGAGACCTTGGTAAGGAAGAAAGTGTATTACTGACATTAGTGCTAACCCTTGTTGTGATTGCATCAGCTGTTAAAATTGATTCAGGATCAGTGTAATGTTTTTGGGAGCTGTGGGGTTGAAAGGTTTTACAGAGTAAGGTAATAAAATAGGTATTTGAAAGATGCTGATGAGATTGAAAACTGAACTTAAAAAGACAAATATGGCTACTTATCAGGAACTCTTTTTCTGAGGGGAATTTCCACCAGCTTGCTTCCTTGCTAGGTTACTTATTCACATAAAATGTTTTTTAATCACAACTTCTTCCATATTTCTTCTCTTTAATGTGTGAAAGAAGTTAAGTTATTTTAAGTAACAGTGCTAAACTTCTGTCTCCTTTTCTTTGCTATTGACCACCAAGCCAAAAAAAAAATTGAAATCAATTTCTATTTTTAATTTTTTTTCAACAGTTAGTCCATGATAAAGAGCTGGCAGCAGAAGATGAGCAAATATTTCTTACGAAACAGCAGGTAAGAAAACCAAAGCCTTACTTTGTAAGACTTCACTTTAAGCTCTCCATTATTATTTGCCTCCAGTTTTCCATTCCTCATTCACTTTACAAGATAATGACTTCTCAGCTTTGCAACTTCAAATGTAATTGTGAGCTAAGACTTGCATGTATTTGTATGCATAAGTAGGGAATATGGCCACTTGACTTGGTAAATTGAAAGGAAAATATGCTGAAAACAAAACCAAAAAAATCATTCTAAGGGAGAAGAATAAGATCATTTGAAATTTCACGACTTGCATAGGTCAATCTGTAGAAGTGTAAGTACCATTTTCTTACAGCTAGAGGCTTGAAAGCAAGAAAATAATGTTTTAAATTTGAATTAGGCATAAAGGTGTCAAATTTAGCCATGCTGTGTCTTATTCTCCTTTGTTTATAAGAGTTGCTCTGTTAGTTAAAAGAAAACAAGTAATAGTTTTCTGTGTAGTTGATTGTAAGTATCATAAAGATTACAGAGACTTGAGTGTTGGTGGTTCTGATTTGTGGTTCTGAAATGTGTTTGTGTAAGACAAAGGACTGAAGGAAATGTATTTGTTTTAGCTGTCTCCTAGTGGTGAAGTTTGGAAGTATATCAATACTGAAAGGAAGTCTATAAATAGCAGAAAAGTGAATGATTAAATAAACTAATAGTGAGCTTCACTGTATTTTATTCCTTTGTAGTTCCTGGAATGTATTTAACATTCTTAATATGCTGTTTTTGCAGTCATTCCTTGCCAAACAGCCAGCAACGCCTACAAGAGCATCAGTAAGTAGATCCAAGAGAAGAGTAGGAGGTGTTTTGTTTCTTTCTATGGAAAAGAGTGAGAGATTCTAAACTGTAGAGGTCCATGTTATAAACATGAAATAGATAATCTTCTCAAACTTCAGAAAATTACAAAATATTTGATAATATTTTAACATTACTAAGAAATGAATTCATTCTAACTAGCTGTGGAAACAGAAATATCTGATGGTTATTGAACTGAAAATTTCATACACTGATTCGTTCTTTCCCTTAGTGGAGGCACAGACCCAAAATAACCTGCGTTGACTTTATTTATTCCCTCTGATGTATAGAGTACATTGGCAGTATGAAAGTTTCTTTTTAATGTTGCATTTAGTTTATGTAATCAATTCATTCAATTTGTTCTCTGATCTGTGTGATACTGATTATTTTTTTTTCTTTTTTTAAGGAGTCTCCTGCAAGAGGACCTGCAGGATCCCCAAGAACTCAAGGCAGAGCCGGTCCTGCCAATGTACCTAGTGCCTCACCAATAACATCAGTTAAGAAACCAGATCCAAATATCAAAAGTATGAATTAGCATCTTACTATTTTTTATGTGTTGTTTCCCTTAGAAAAAAATGTTCCTAAAAAATAAAGATCTTGGAATTTATTCACTAGTAGTGTAGTGTCAGTTTAATAATACAAATCAATTTATGGCATCAATCCATTTTTTTTTGGTTTGATTTTGTCATGCATGTGACTTGCAGTTCTGTTACTGGCAAGCAGTTAGAAAGAGTTGAAATACATTAATTTTTTACATTGTTTAAGTACATTTTCTATGCATTGATTGGATTATTAGAATGCAGACTGGTTTAAAGTTCACATTTTTATACTTTTCAGCCTGGAGAAGAGAAGGAAGTGAGGTGACCGGATAGCGGCCTTTCAGTACCTAAAGGGGAGCTACAGGAAAGAAGGGGAGAGACTCTTTAGCAGGGTCTGTGGTGATAAAATAAGGGGAAATGGTTTTGAGCTAAGGGAAGGTAGGTAGGTTTAGGTTATGTATAAGGGAAAAATCTTTTACAGTGAGGTTAGTGAGGCACTGCAACAAGTTACCTAGTGATGTGATTGATAACCTGTCCCTGGAGACTTTCAGGGTAGGGCTGCATAAAGCCCTGGGCAGCCTGATCGACCTGTGGTGTACATTGCAGGGGAGTTGGAGTAGATGGCCTTCAGAAGTCCCTTCTAACTCTATGACTGTGTTCTATATTTGAGGTTTATTTCCTTGGTTTGTAAATGTTATCTCTGTATGGGAAAAAATAAATTCACTGGTAGTAACTATTGTATAAATATATAAATATGCTTTTTGTTTGTGTGTGTGTGTTTTGTTCAGATAATGCTGCAAGTGAAGGTGTCTTGGCTAGTTTCTTTAACAGTCTCTTGAGCAAAAAGACTGGCTCTCCTGGGAGTCCTGGTGCTGGAGGAGTGCAAAGTACAGCCAAGAAATCAGGTATTGGAGTTGTTACTGCATGTTTGAAATATTTTATTTGACCTGTGTTGGCCTAAATGCTTGTATCTTTTAAGCTGATGAGTGAAGTGGCAGATCTTGACAGATGACGCAATGCCGAAATGTGCACATGAAGCTCTCTTAAAGTACTACTGCAACTTCGTGACTCAGGGCTTCTATTAAACTTGTTATAACTCAGTTCTCTGAGTGAAATGTAAATAACATTTGATTCTGTGTCCAGAAGGTGCTAATCTTTTACATTAGAGTTCCTTGTCTTCTTGACACTTAACTACTGTACTGCTTAACAGAAGAGCATTTCATTGGGTTTAGAATGTTCCAGTTGAACTATTGAAATCTTTACATCATTCAAATTTAAATGAATTATATATTTCAACAGCTTGAAGTTATCTCATAATTATTTTACTATTTTATTATGATTCAACACATCAAGTGGATTTGTTCTGTGTATATGCCTATGACTGCATTGTATGAGATATTTACTAGTAAACAATTACAGTATTTTAGATGAAAATAAACAGAACAAATAGAATAGTATCTACAAAATTAAGCATTATCAAGTGCATGGTTGTTCCAGCCAATCTTAGAAATTCACTTCTTTGCTGATTGCTTTACTGTGCATTTTCAGTATTGGCATTCCTGTCACACTGTACACTCAAGAGCCTTCCAGAGTTATTTCACTGCTGAATTATTGCTAGATACTCTACTTCTAATCCTAGAAGCGATTTCATGTGTAATTTCATGATTAAACCCACAGTTTCTGATAATGCTTAGAAGAGAGTGTAAGACCCGAATGTTCTGAACTGGAGTTGAAAAAGAGGTTTGATGCCAGACAGTGATGATATAGCAATTGAAAGAACAAGAGGGAATAGTTGGAGCATGTGTACTGGAACTGGAAACTATTTCTAGAGAATTAAAATAAAGTGTGTATATTCAGTCATTTATTTGCTTATTGGGAAGACTTTTACATGACACTTTATAAACTGTAATCTCCAGAATGGCTAGAATTTGATTCAGTATTGAATAATACTTGAGTCAGTATTTTGTGGGTCTGATTTTTTTTTTTTGCTTTTTTTTTTTTCTCCAACATTTGCTATGAATTCTGCAGATCTCCTAATTAGATCTCCTTATTGAATTTATTTATTATTTAAGTAAAAATAAATGGGCTTTTGTATTATATATTTGCATTTCATTTTCATTATAGAATTTTATCTACATTAAAAATATTAAATTCTGCCCCAAAATAGAGTGCCTTCTCCCATTAATCACTGCTCCATCCAGTTCACTGTTGTGTGATTACTTACTGCAACGTCAGCTTATCTGTTTTTATAGAAATAAGACTAGAAATAATTTTTAGAGGCTATTTCATCCCTTTTCTTTATCAAAGTAGAATCAGTTTTGGAGCCCCTGAGTGATACTTGAAAAACAGCAACCAACAACAAAAACTAAATGAAAACCAACCGAACAAAAAACCTCTGAGATAGATGCAGTGTCATCTCTCTGGGAAGTCTGTTCCAGAACTTAACTTCTTAGTTATTTTTTTTCTAACATACAGTCAGTATATCACTATTCCAGTACTATTCATCTTTTTCTGGAGAGATGGAGGGTATCCTGTCTTTCTTCAGAGCAGTCTTCTGCATATTGGAATACTACTGGCCATTTTCCTGTGATTTTTGTCCAAACTGCAGAAGTAACACTTGTCAGCCAGCCTTTCCTCATAGGGTGTATCTATGGCTCTAATAATTCTGACTGTTATGCTATGTACTTTTGACTGTTTAGATGACCTTTTTCTTTTGCTGCTGAGATGTGAATGCACTACTTCAGACAAGGCTTTGTCGGCCTTAACAAGAAATTAATTAATCTGCATTACCATCACAGCATGACTCATGCCAGGGTTGTGTTTTTTTGGCTGTATGATATTGGTCAACCTTTGTTAGAGCAATACAGACGGTTTAATACAATTTCCGCATCCTAATAGGATGTTTTCTAGGCTTGATTAAATTGCCTGAATATTTACAAAGGCAGTATTTTATTTCTTTTGCTTTCTGTTTTTTGACAATTTATATAAATAACTTTTTTACATCTAATTCTCTTGTTCAAAATCCTTTGTAGTTTCTTTGAGAATGCTAGCCTGCATATCTGGGAATGGTTGGACAGTGTAGGTTGTTGTTCTTGAATACTGACTAGTAGTATGGATAATTAATGGGTAATTTTATAAATTACAGTTCTTTTTTTTTTTTTTTTTTTTTTTTTTTTTTCTAAATAGAGACTGTTTTTTCTAGTTTATATGAAGGTTTATATGAGATGTGATATCGACCGCTTCTCCCTTCTCCACAGGACCTGTTATCCTATCATAGAAAGAAATTTGGTTGGCTTGACACACCTTATTGGTAACAGATCCATGCTATCATACTGCTAGGCTGTTCATAAACATCTAAACCATCACTGCATTTTATGGACAAATAGTAGAGTAAAAACTAACTAGTTTTTAATGAGCTTTACTCTTTCCTCTTTCAGTCTTCTAGAACATCATGTGCCTTCAGGAGTTCTCAGAGATGACTAATGGCTAGTTTTAGTTGTTGTTTTTTGGTCAGCATTAACTTCTAATTTAAGTAGATTATTTCTCTCATGAAACATCTAGAGACAGCAGTCACACATCCTTTCTTAACTCTTTGTTTTATTAGACTAAATTAGATGAGTTCTCTTCTAGCCTTCTGATAAAAGCTGAGCTCTATTTTCTCTGCTAGTTTTTTCTTCATTACTTGCCATCATCGGCTTATCTTTTCTTGAACATGAGTGATTAGAATTGTGTGCAGCACTCCAGATACGTCTCATTGTAGTGCCTGCAGCAGCATTTGTCTTTCTTTGGTGGAAGTCCCTCTCCTGAGGGATCACAAGATTGCAGTTGGCTTTTCTTGGCTGCATCAAGTTGGTAGCTCACACTCGTCCCCTCACTTTTGGAACAGAACTGTCGGCTTTCAGTCACAAGAGAATATGCCTGTTCCTTGTCAGATGATGTTCTCACATCTTATGCTCAACCAATATATGGTTAAACTTTCCTGAGAAGGTAAGAAGGACTCTTAACACTGATGTCTGAAAAGCTCTTGTTGAGTTTATAAAGGCAGCTGTTTAGTTGTTCTTTTGTGGAAGAGTTGAGGAGAGTATCTTAAAATGTTTTAAAATGAATTAAGGCAGCCTCGTACTAAAATAATATTTGTAAGGATTATAAGTATCTAATTAAACTATTTTAAGAGCCCTAAGTTTTCAGAAGGTTGCCACTAAAAGTATTTGTCTTTTTAAGAGATTGCCTGTTTCTCCCGCCGTTGTAAATATCCTGTGGTTGAAATTGAGATATTGTTATAGGTTGAGAGAGACATTATGGATTTCAAATAATGATCAGCCTGATCAATTGGTTTGCCCCACATCTTATTTGAGAGAATACTCTGATCTGGGTAGAAATCCATCTTACTCGTTTCTATGCTGTGCAGTTTTTCACCCACTCTGTTTGCTTTGACATTGCTGGACTATCTTTTTCCAGTTGTAGATCTTGACTCTTCAAAAAGCTTCAAATGATGGATTCTGTGATGAACATCTTATTTCCTTATGTATCTACAGATACAAAAGATTTATTTCATTTCTGTTCACAAGATACTTTCACTTTGAAAGGTTTGACTTCACTCTTCCAGATGAAGAGCTGGAGTTCCCAGCTCTCATTTTACACTTAATTGGCTAAGGCCGCTACCATTCTTGGTGATATTCTTGTAGGGAAACTGAAAGCAAATATCAGTTTAGTTTACAATGGAGGGGTATTTTAAATTTTCTTAATAAGAACTCTTTTGTTTCTTTTCATTTGAAAGGTGGTCATCTGTGACAGTGGTAATGGGGAGTGTATAAAACTATGTATCGCTCAATAGTTTGGCAGTGTTTTTCACAAGTGATGTGAGGCAGTGGCAGGAGACAACTGTAATGACACAGTGCATTTCTTATATATAAAAAAAGCCATGGTTGATGTTTAGACCTACTTTTGCTCAAGTGGTTAGAATTTATTTAAATCAGAGTGCCCTTATTCTACCAGGGAAGTTTTTTGTATTGTAATTTGTGAATTTATTACATTTTTTAATAAAAATTGTTTAAATATTGATGGTTTGAATAGATGCTTTTAAGAATACTGTGGCTTATGATCAGCATTTAAATCTAAAACCAATGCAGTGATTAAAAGTAGCCTTTTAACTTAGTCTTTGTACTTTGGAAAAAAACACTTAAATCTTCAACAGTCAAATCTTGCCTTCCTAATGTTTTCAGCATGTACCCTGGAAAAAATCCACCTAATATTTCACACACATTTGAACTGGAAAACAGATGCTTGTTAAATTCTTTGGCTGTGTAAGGAAGCAGTACATGGTTATATAATCTATTTTTTTGTCTAAAAGTATAGGTTTTTAATCTTAAATGCTTGTACGCTGTGGGCTTTAGAATATATTGTTCCAATTTTAATGATTAATTCATCTGTGGGTTTATAATTTTCAGAATGAGGGAATTAAACTGTAGTTTAGTGGGAGAATTGTTAAAAAGTTTTGAGTCTAATATAAAAATGTATGATATGCTGTTCCATGAAATACTTCAGTGTGTCTGTTTTCAATTGAAGAAGTCCTCTGTAATGATGGCTCTGAGATATGAAATGAGTACGCAGTTCGTGTTCCCCTTTTTAAGGGAAGCACTGTCTGCGGACATGAAAGAGTTAGTTGTTTAATATTGAAATGCATCAGGAATAAGTGCGACCAAACACATGTGATTTTTCTAGCAGGTGTCCTACGTACTTGGGAGAGCTTGTGGTTGAAATCTTTGTTGAAAAGACTCCTTGCTATATGTACTAATAATAGAATTGTGTACAGTTAATTTTTCTAGAAAATTCTAAGTGTGATTGTTTTTAAGATTCTTGTTGCTTTGGTGTATGTTGCAGATATTTTCATGCTTTGTATCTTGGTTTTGGTTGAATCAAATCTTGTACTGGTCTTTATGTAGATGTTACCTTGTATTTAGTCAGGCCCAATGTTGTTGGGTAGGTGGTGAAATAAGAAGCAATTAAATAATATACTGACATAAAAAATGATCCTATGAATGCATGTACTCATCAGTTAAAATATTTTCTGGAAGGTAGGTTGCTTTAACCTTGTTCTTTTTCTTTTTAGGACAAAAAACAGTTTTGACAAATGTTCAAGAAGAATTGGATAGGATGACTCGCAAGCCAGACTCTATGGTAACAACAAGCTCTCCTCCGACAGAGAATGAAGCTTGATAGCGCTTAAAAATGCATAAATAAATGACCAAATAACTATGTATATTGATCTGATAAGACCAGGAATTTTCTGCTATGGCAGATGCTATCAGTTTTTTTGGGGGCAGGGGAAATGAGCTTACTATGTCATTGCCTTGTCCCAGTAAAAAGTGCACATTCAGGAAGTTTGCATATAAAATCCCTCTGTATAAGATAACCATTTAGAGTTTATATAGGGCAATTCTTTTGGTTTTCGAGGTAAGCAGGTGCAGCTGCATTTCCTGTTGTGAAGAGCACAGAGAAGCAAGATGCAGAATTATTATTAAAATACTACTTATGACTGCACATAAGGCAAGAAAGAAACGGAATCCTCTATCAGAATTATTGGAATTGGCTACTCGTATGTTTACAAATGAGTTAAATACTTGGAAAGGTGGTGGTGATGTAACAGAACATTAATTAGGTTGAAAGAAGCCTAGGTAGGAGATGGAGCCCTAAAAGGGAAGCAGATTTGAATCAGTAAGAAACAAGAATGTTGGATTGACTGGAGAGGAGCAATGTTGTCAAATCCTGTGTTATGCATAGGGTAAATAATCCCTGTTTTAAAAAAGACTACTTTATATTGGAGAATTCCAGGCCAAACACTAAGCATCATGGGAATTTATTCTTGTTATAAATCTTGTTTTAGTTTAGAAGAAAAGAAATGTCTAAGAGTGTGGATGCCCTTTCTGGTGTAGCTGACAAAGGGAGAAACTTAAACTTGTTTAGATCCAAGTGCCTGGCACAGCGTGTGATGTGTCTTTAGAAGGTGCTTGAATTTATTGTGCACTGTAGTACAAACAGTCACTGTTTGGTTTTATTTTAAAATGCGTAGTTTGGCAATTTGTATTTAATTTTAAGTCCTGTTTTCTGATAGCTTCTGCCTTTTTTTATGCCAAGAGGCTAGCCTATGAAGAATGGTCGGTGACGTATCATTTTCCCATAATGAAATGTGCTACAGAACACTCAGTATTTTTTTCTTACTTTTTGTAACTAAATATTTGCTACCAAGCTAAAACTGTTTCCTGCCTTATACCTGTGGAAGTTTGTAAAAAGCTTTCAAGGCCCTGTTTCCAACCACATCTGCTGCAGGTGCAGCCAACTCCCGTTCTGAAGGTAACCTAAAAAGTACGAATGTGTACATGATGAACATAGTCAATAACTTGTTTTGTATTTTTTTTTTAATGTAGCATTTCATTTGGAAAGATGGGTTGTTGTCCCCGTTGCTGTGACGGAGCTCTGCCCATGGTCACAGAAAACCATCCTTCTGTAAAAACAAAACTGCTATGGTTACTGAAATGGCACTTTTGATTTTATATATGGTATGCTTGTTTTACATGTACACACTACCCTAAATTAAAAAATGCCAAGCATATTCTGTGCTCTTAATGCTGAAGGGAAAAACCACAATTTGAGTTACGCAGAGTTTACTTTCTGTTGTTATAAACTTGTACTAAATCCGATGTCTGGATATAACTTCCCTAATATATACTGTTACTTAAATATACAGAATTAGGTTGACCACTAACACAGTACTGGATGTTAACTTCAAATCCTATGTAACATCAAGAGGCTGTTCTTCACGTAAGTCTGTCTAAACATTATCTAGGAAGCTAAGAGTATTTACTTGCCTCTTTGACAACCATTAACGTGAGCATGTTATTTGTGCCAGTTTTGTTAAGAATGTGGGTTTTTTTAACTTTTTAAAATAAAGGGTATGACCTAAAGTTACACAGTTGTCTAGATAATGGACTAAGACTGTGGATGGCTGATGGGAATGTGGATGTACTTCCTGGTGTAATGGGTGCCAGTTGCAAGTTGCCACACCAGAAGTAATTACACTCTGTCCTTCTGACACAGAGAATTGAGACTGAAACATCAAAGGCATTACAAGAAAATTGGAAAAGTGTGTGATTGTAATGGGATAGAGTTTGAAAACCTCAGTCCAAAATTGTGTTTTTGCCATCTAACCTGATAAGCACTTTCCCTAGCAATACAGCTGAAACTTACAATTGAAGTACTTCCCAGTTTTATAAAAGTGTTAAATATACTAAAATTTATCAAAACTGATAACTGTAACTTAATAGCTTTGCGAAAAGATGCTTCTGACAAAAGAGAAACAGATTTCCAGTTTCTAATTGCAAGTGAATGCTCCTAGTTTATCAGAAGAGTTGTAAGTAATGTAGCATCCTGTGGCTGCCGAAGTCTGCCAGCTTTGGTGAGCTGCACAGTTCTTCTGGTGTCTTCAAGCATTGGAACCAAAGGCCAATTGCAAACAGCCTTCACATTTTCAAGCGAAACTTCATTTTATTTGCAGATACACTTGTACGGTAGACTGTTTAACCTGTTATATGACTGTATTTATATGCATTACGGTGACTGCATCTACTATTCGTGTTTAAGAAAACAAAAAAAGAAATTGTTCAACTTGAAGCAAATATAAAAGTTTAAAGATTGGCCCTCCATAAAAATGCTGTGGTTATGCTGCTTGATTTTAAGTTTGCACTTTTTTTATTGGCATTTAAAAAAAACTGTTTAAACTGAATTTCGTATTTTATTTAATTTAACTGCATTGAAAGTGACTGCTCTGTACATCATGAACTTAACAATATACATGCTGTAAATGAAAGTTCACTGTCCTGTATACTAAGGGTGTTTTTTGTTTGTTTTTTTGGGGGGAGGGAAGGAAGGTAGAGCAGGGTGGGTGGCGGTTGTTTATTTTGTTTGTTTTTTTCCAACTTATAATTAGGACTGCAAATGTATGAGACAAACCTTAGACCAGCTGTATGGCTTTAACCAAGTGCAGTATGCAGTCATGTGGGATCTTGCTTTCTAGTGCTGGCAAAATAAGGACATCTTTAATTACTGGCTTCAATAAACACGAATCCAGACTGCTCTATGCTGTGATTTTTTAAAAAAATTTTTCATTTTCATTTTTAAGATCACCCTTCTAGAGCTGTTTCTGTGGGAGCAGAACATCAGTGAGTTCAGTGAACAGGAGAGTTAAGTCGGCTCATACTTGTGTACAGGGTGGAAAGCTAGCCACTTGGATGGTGTAAGTAATGGACTGCTAATAACAGAACTAAGTTTTTTTTCCCCTTTGGTAAGTGCAACAAGTTTTTCTTAGTAAGCATAGAAAGAACAGGCCAATTTAAGTAGAATTTTTCTGTTTCCTTGTTACTTGAGCTGGATGCCTTTCTGTTCTCCTACATAGCCTGGAATTCTACTTCATTAATGTTTGTGACTAATTTCTGTTACAGAAGCCAACTGAGCTTTTGATTGCTAAAATACATAGTTTGTGTAGAAGTGAAGCTTTATGAAGCCATGAAGCAATTATTCTGTGGAGTTACCATAATGCTTCTTCTTTGAATGAGTTCATTAATATACAGTAAAGTATTCCTTTTGGTTCATTTAAAATGCAAAACGTTCAAGGTGGGATTTAGAAAATAATTTTTGAATATATGATGAGAAATATATTTAGAGGGGAACTAAATGAAAGTTTCATCTTCAGATGTATTGAAGCTGGAAATGGCTTTATTCATAAAGACCATAATAGTGGATAGAAATGAAGGAACGCCCCTGTAACTCTTGTGTGTACTTCACTGTTACTTGTCAGTAGGGTTGTTTGTGGGTTGTTAGTGACTTTCTTTTTTTCTCTTTTTTTTTTTTTTTTTTTTTTAAAGGCAAATACCTCAATAAAACAAACAGACATGAGGTAGCATGGTTTTTATTACACTGTGAAAAACATCTTGCTGGAGGCTCGAAGCTACTTGCTCAAAGTAAATCTTCCCCTGACTCTGCTGTTCCAGAAGGTGGCATTAAGCCTTCTGGCTTTTCAGCCATGGCAGGCTTTTGTTAGCATATGAAGTTCTCAGATAAGAAACTTTGCATGAATAAAGTCAGTCAGTTTCTGAGTCTTTGTAGTTCAGATACACATGGAGGAAGGGCTGTTGATGACCAGGATGTTGCTGACAACCTAAAAGAGCCTCTAGTTGTCTGGAACAGTACTGTGGAACTGCACAGAGTATCTAAAGTTACTGTTCAGTATCGAAAGTAAAACTTGTGTGTTGCTCAATCTTTTTAATTAAAACAAACAAATAGTATATTCAGAGGATAGAGATAGTTTAATTCCAGAAGCACTCTTCAGGTGGAGCTCAGCTTTCCCTTTGATGTAAGTCTTCTAGCCCTTCTGGTACAATCTTCATAGGAATTAATTATTTGTTCTCTGATCGACTCAGATTTTGCAGAGAAGTTGATGTAAACACAAGTAATTAAGAAAGTCAGCAGTCTGAACAAATGCTTTGGGTCACTGCATGGCTCTGGTTTCACAGCAGAGATGTTTGCAGTGAAATGTTACTGTGCCTTATAATCAGCCATTCCAAGTAGTGGGTGTTGCAGTAGTGTAGGTGAGGACAGAATCTGATCTAACATGCTTTCTTCTTTCTAGAAAAGTGGAATGAAGCAAGTGCTGATATGTGCATGTATGTCAGTGCTTCTGTAACGCTTGGAATTGAAATACATTTAAAAGAAAATAAATGCTTTTCAACTGGTAATGAGCTTCAGTGCTTCAAAACCATGGATGTCTATAAACTGTAAGTGTGGGTGGGGCATCTAAGTCTGCCTTAAACTGGCTTAAAAAAACAATTAGTTGTATTGGTGCATTGCACATTTCTTGTGCCAAGCACAGCAGTGCACCTAACAGCACAGTGCTCACACTGTTTAGAAATGCCACTCTTATAAAAGGTTTGAATTATCCATACTGGCTGGCATGTACATCATGCTAATAAATGCATACTTGAAAACTATCTGTAGGATAATGCTGTAGACATGGAAGCAATTATTTTTCTCTACTGCCATTGTTTGCAGACTTTCTGTGTGGTAGATTGAACATTACTAGTTGTAAATTTTATTTGAAGAAAAAGGTCTTTGACTCCTCTCTCCTTGATAATTAATTATTAACTATGTTTGACTGAAGGTTTCTGTAGATGCAGTGTTCCAGATGGTGGTGGTCTGAGATCAGTGCCTTTAAGCAGTGCTGCTTCATACACCGTTTTAAGATGGTATATTCTTTGCTTGTGATGAGCCCTTAATAATTCTTGTGTGGCAGACTTTTTAGGCCAAATGCCTTTCAAAGAGTAAATTGCAAAAAAATACCAAATGAAAGCAGTTTCAATTAATTTCAGTAGCAGTTACAATTCTAAGAATTTTCCTAATATGGGTTAAACTTTTTTTTTCCTGAGTCTTAACTAAGCCACTCTGATTCTTTGCTTTCAGAACAAAAGCTTAAATAGCAATGTCCAACCCTGAAGAAAAACAGTTGTTTTGGCCATACACACAAGAGAGCTGAATTTGGGTGCAGAAGCTGATGGAATCATGCACAAGCTACCTTTTTTCTCTATGAATGTAGGTTTAAAGAAGTTGTTAATGCTTGCTCATATGTAGCACTCAGTGTTCCTTTATGGTCATGTAAAAAATGTCATCCTTGTAGAAGTGGTTTAGAACAATTTCAGAAACTATTCAAAATACACCAAAAGAATTTTTGCAACATCAAGGTTCTAGGAATAGTCTTAAACAAACATAGAAAGAATTTGCAGTAAAATAGTGAATTTCTATAGGAAGGGAGACAAGCAATCCTAAATCTCTGACACTCAGTTTATCAGATTGACAGCATTCAAAAGAACCAGGACGCCTCTTTGAGAGAGGGATTGAAGTGGCAGGATTAAACTGAAATAAATAGCAGGAAAAGAGAGAATATGAGTAAAGAAAAGATAATGGATTCAGATGGCTACTGAGGCTTGGATCAGAACATGTAATTGTTTGCTGGACTTTGAGCCAGAGTGCAGAGTGCCCTCTAACTAGTGCAGATTGCTCCAAGTGATTGGCTGCAATCTTTGTCTTGCCTTGTGTTGTGCTTGTTTCCACTCGGAAAAATCCCAGCCAGGTTTTTGTTCTGACACTGACCATTTGACTGCAGTACAAAGTGGTAAAGGCCTGTCTGAGACAGGAACAGGGAAGTCAAATTGTGGTCCAAGAGCACATAGGAATGGTGGGTAGGTGTTAAGAGAGGATGATACGTGGCTAGGCTGTCTCAGTAATTAATGTCTGTATTTGAACACAGCACTTAACACCCATTTTGGCTGCAGAGAAGACTTGGATGTTGCACTCAAGTTTACTTGAATTTATTGATCATGTTGTAAGTGGTAGGACAGAGGTGGAGATCAACGTTACTTGCTGTGGTTGGTTAATGAAAACTGTTTGACGTGGATGATAAATCACTATCAAGTTAAAACCTCTCTTTTCCAGGGGAATCAAGTGATTATTTGTGAAAGACTTGGTTTACTGACTGTATTTTTGGAGATGGTTGGAAGGCTAATGAGATAAAAGTCTTCATCTGCTCTGAAAGGTGAGGCTACTATGGGAAGGAGGAAAAGCTTAAATTTTATTAAAAATCAGTCACTGACTCCAGAGAAAATTACTTAAAACCAAAGCAAAGGCAAAAGGCTTAGGGTGAGCACTTGGTACTTGTGGCCAGACCCAGGACTGGATTTGTGTAGCTTAGGCGTGGGGGTCAGTAAGGAGTGATCCAGAATTGCGCCGTCAGTGCAGTAATCTCACCGTGACTTGAATGACAAAACTTCACAGCTAACAGTATCTTTTGGTAATAATTTTGGCTCCTGTTGTCAGGGGCTAGTTTTGAAAGAAACAAGTGGTGTATTAGTCATTGATATATGTAAGAGTATTAGATTGCTGAATTAATACCAATATTCATGTATGTTATAAACCTGAGTTATTTTACGTGGGTTTATTTTCCTGGTAAAGCAACACGTGACCCAGAAAAACATTGGATTGCCAGAAGGCAGCTATAACTAGCAGCTGTTCAACTGGCTGTGTTAGGATGTTTTGATTTAAAAACAAGCAACGCCTTGCAGTGCTGTTGTAAAGGGCTGGGAGATTGCCAGTGAAAATGGCAGGATCTGAAATATTTAAAACTTAGTTTGTCAGAATCTCTCCGGATCACCTTTTAGCTGAGCAGAAGGTACAGCACAGCTATTAAAAGAATGCTGTCATACTTAAAATATTTTACTTTGACCACAGTTCTCCTCTTGCTTTTGCATGTGTGCTCTGTCCTATTCTACCCTCTCATTATAAGCAACTTGAGTCTTTTGGGCCATTTCAGTTGAGAAGGATCTCAGAGCTCACTGAGCTAATACCAGTTGCATGAAAATTAGTGGCTCAGTAGAGAAGATAGATCCAAGACTTCCTGTGCTTAGGGAAGCATTGCCAAGGAAGTTTGGCCAGTCGGCAGGCGAGACAGGCCAAGCGCAGATCTGTCAGTCTGCACACATGGAACCTGGCAAAGCACTTGCTTTCTTTTGCTCAAGCAGTAGTTAGGGACATAAATAGGAGCTAAGCCTACTGCGTGTGAAAGGGGACCCTCGGGGGGTGCTGGGTCACTGGGCTCTGTGGGAGGAGTGAGTGGGAAGGTGGGAAGAGAAGACTGAAGTCTGCAGGGAATTGGGATTTATTAGTTCCGCTTTATACAGCCTTGTAAATTTGGGGCAATGTGCCTGCCTTGAGTTTATAGCTAGTGATGGAAGACTTGAAATTATTTTTCCTGTTTAAAAAAAAAAAAAAAAAAAAAAAGCCTAAACTTTCCATTGCATGTGGAGGACCAAATAACTAAAGAAAGAAATACTCTGCAAGGAGGAGAGCCAAATTTGCTGAATGTCAAATTTTGTTGCATGTAGGAATTAAGTGCTGTTGAGTGAATTAAGTTCTTTGAACTGCTGTCACATTAGCTGATGTAAGCAATAACTGCAGGTGAAACAAATTCCAAAGAATAACTAAAAAATGAACTTTTAAAACCTTTGCAATTCTCCACCAGAGGCAGAAGGAACTGCTTGGTTTGGTTACGTAACAGCAAACAGTATTAAAACAGTTGAGGTCAGTTGTTTTCGCTGGCCCGTTTCATCCATGGAAAGAAAGAATGCAGTGAGTGTACTTCATCTTCGTATTTATTTATACATTTTATTTAAAGCCTGCTGAGAGACCTTTAAAACTTTGTTTGTAAGGCATGGTTTATACAATTTTTCTTCCACCTTCTCAAAAAATAAAAATGATCTTTTTCCCTCCAAAGGGCTGCTGTATCCTCCACACTCCATCTCTTGCTGAAAAAACTCTAGATGCCACAGGGCAGCATGGCCATGGCCATGCAGTCAGAGGGAACTGCTGTTCCCTGACCTTCTGTTCTGGATTTGTGTATTTTTATGGTATTATTGGAAGAAGACTACCTTTTTTCTCAGTTGAGATTTTTTTTTCCCCTCTGTTTCCTGAATAAATGTAGTGCCATGAATAAAGTAAACATTGCTGTCAGTCTCTCTGCATATTTTTCAGTGTGCTTCATTATACAGAATTCTTTCAAAAGAAATACAACCCACGGCCTTGGCTGGTTCCCAGCATCATTAAAAGTCCACTGGCACTTTTCTGAAGAACATGAGGCTTTGCTTCTGTTTTTTATAGAAATTAATTTAACCTCCCTCATATAGAAAGCCTGCTGCCCTTCATCCCAGATGTGGCTGTGGTGTAATCCCTGTCTGGCACTTGCAGGTTGCAGATGTCCATGAAGGCTTTTGGAGGTGAAAAGAGTCAGTGAATGCTTCACCAGTGAGGAAGGTGAGGGGA